CACTGCTTTCCAAGGCGGGTGCCAATGTGCAGATTCGCAGGAAGGATGGCACCCCGCTTGTTCTGGCCACCAATGTCTGTGGCAACCGGGCACAGCTTCTTGACCCAGCCCAGACCACCGAATTCCATTCAAGCCCTGTTAAGGTGTACCAGGAAGGCGACGATTTTGTGCTCGAGAACACCATGGTCAAAGTCACCATTGGCCACAATGGCAGAGTCAAGAGCTTTATTGACATCCGTGAAGACCGTGAGCTTGTGCCTGAAGGCGCCCTGGGCAATGTGTTTGAGCTATACGACGACGTGCCGTTATACTGGGACGCGTGGGATATTGAAATTTACAACCTCGAGAAGTACCAGTCGCTGCCAGGCACCGATATCACTATGGTTGACAAGGGCCCTCTGGTAGCTTCGCTGATCGTGCGCGTCCCCATTGGTGACACCAGCGTATTGGTCCAAACGATCACGCTGACAGCCATTTCGCCACGCCTTGAGTTTGACTGCCACATCGACTGGCATGAGAACCGCAAGTGCTTGAAGGTCTCGTTCACCTGGGACATCCACAGCGATGTGGCCACGTACGAGACCCAGTTTGGTGTGGTGCAGCGTCCCACGCACCGCAACACGTCGTGGGATATGGCCAAATTTGAAGTGTGCGGTCATAAGTTTGCCGATCTCTCAGAGTACGGCTACGGGGTGGCTTTGCTCAACGACTGCAAGTACGGATACTCGACACTCGAGAACACCATGACGCTGACGCTCCTGCGCAGCCCCAAGGCACCAGACGAGAACTGCGACATGGGCCCTCACGTCTTCCGCTACGCTGTGTTCCCACATAAGGGCACGTTTGCAGAGTCCGCCGTGGTCAAGGAGGCATATAACTTCAATGTCCCACTACTGCACCTGCCAGCAAATGCCGACAGATTCAGCATGAAGGGTGGAATGGCCGGTGCTGCTCACCCGTACTTTTCGCTCTCCAATGCACCCAATGTGGTCCTGGACACTGTCAAGGCGGCAGAGGACGGCAGTAGCTCGTTTGTGGTGCGCATGTACGAGGCCTATGGCGGCCATGCAAAGGCACTCTTGACGACAGCGCTGCCAGCCATGAAGGCAGAGATTGTCAATATTCTCGAAGGCCATGTCAGTGATCTGGAGTGGCTTCCGTACTCCAAGTCGACAGCCATCAAATTCAAGCCGTTTGAGATTGTCACTGTCAAGTTCTCCATCTAGCTACTCCCGTTACAGTCCCAGAACGCACGCACGTCGCTCGTTCCAAACACTAATATATGCCATTCTTAAATAGCCGGCAGAAGTTGCCAAAACGGTCTCCACCGACCAATCACTGTCAGACGATGGTAACTGATCATTTTAACGGCTCTGTTGATGGGCGGACGACACCTCCATCCCAAGGATTCCCTCTGCCGAATGCAAATCTGGAGCCGCGGAAGTGTTGTCAGAAAAGGTGGTGGGGCTACGAAAATCATCACATACCAAATTGATAGCTCCCAGGAAGGCATGGCCACAGATGAGGCCGATCACCTATCAAATGGCTCGCGCTGGGACGAGACTCAGTCCAACCTCGCCGACGCCCAGGAAAGGCGCGGTTTCTAAAAATGTATTTTTAGGGGAGGCATCAAATCGGTGGTCAAATCTCGATGGGCACGGTAGCCCCACCACCCAAGTTTCTGGGTTTGGTAGCAAGTCGATTAGGCAAGCGAGAGATACAGCGTGGTAGTTGCGTTGCATGTTTCCCAAGTGCCTGCTAGTCCAGCATGTCTGAAACCTGGCTCTTGTTCGTATTAAGATTCTGGCAAGATTGGCTACCGGCAGCTGCTGCGTTTGGTGCAAAGGAGCAGCTTCTCGCCGGCTTGCACTGAGTGGAAAATCAAACACCCGGCTGGGCCGATTACTTACGCAGTGTGCCCGACAGACTGAGGCAGTAGATCGCTGGGCTGCCATAGGACCGCACCTCCGTTGGTGTGAGGCCAATGCGAGGGCATATATGAGGTTGCATTTCCACATACATGCTGCACCGTGAGAGCAGCAATCTTCGCATACCGGTTTGATTGCTGGCGATCAGCCGGCTCTTTCTCTCATTCGCGTCCTCTTAATAAGGGAATGCCTGTCCTTTGTGCAGGTTTATTTCTGGAACCCAGGCTTGGAAATAAACAGAAGATGCCAAAAAGAGCCGGCGGGCCGCTATCGGGACACCGTTTAGGCAGCACCTTTACAAGAGCGCGCAAGGCATGGATGCGCGCCCAATCAATGCACACTGGCCAAGTGTTGACAGAAAATCTCCTCCCCACTACACGCAACGTGAGATACCGATTGCCACTCCTCGCTGCAACATTGGTGCTGCTCTTGTCAGCTGGGCTGGCAAGGAGTGGATTGGAGCATCGGTCTGGCTGCAACTGATACCCGCATCTGCCGCCTTGAATATCACACGGACACGGACTGAGTTTTCATCAAGATGTCTTTCGCCCAACTGCCAAAAAAGGAGGCCGGCCCGGTACTGGGCATCTGAGCAGAAAGAGGAATCCGATATATAAACCTCGCTGGTGACCCGCATTCACGAAGGCGGCATGTTATTTTTTAGTTCCGATTCCTCTATTCACGACCTCATTTTTAATTTCCACCCTCTACATTTTCTCATACCATGAGTGGCAGGGAAAGCCCGATATTTTCAAACTACCATGTCCGGGATGACATCAATTTTGAGTCCTACTTAAAACGCAACACAGACCATTCCGACACAAGCGGGTTTGCTGCGCCGCTCGATGAGGAAAAGGCAAAGCTGAGCTCGTGGGGCCGCAACTCGCTCAGCGATGGCCGGGTCATGTCCACAGTGCCGAGCGAGGACTCGCCCTACAGCATGGTGCGTGCAGCAGTTGCGCCGAAGGACACGCATGTGCCCTCGCTCACGTTCCGGTCGACTTTGATTGGACTGACACTAGCAACGGTCCTTAGTTTTGTCAACCAGCTGCTGTGGTTCAAGACGACGCCCATTATCATTGGCGGGTTCTTCGTGCAGATTATCTCGTTCCCGATGGGCTACATTCTGTCGCGGATACTGCCAACACGGGAGTTCACCACGTTCGGCTACACGTGGACGCTCAACCCAGGCCCGTTCAGCATCAAGGAGCATGCCATCATATCTATTTTCACTGCGTCGGCATCCAATGCTGCTTACGCGATTGACATTGTGGTGGTCGAGAACGTGTGGTATAACCGGGGGATGGGTTTTACGCCGGCGATTCTAATCACCCTGTCATCGATGATGCTAGGCTACAGCTACGCCGGCCTGCTGCGAGAGTTGCTCGTGTATCCGGCAGCCATGATCTGGCCGGTGTCATTGGTCAGTGTGACGCTGTTCCGGTCATTCCACGAAAAAAACGCCATACCTCTACCACACCTCGCGCACAAAGATCTTCTGGATCGTGTTTGCGTGTGCATTTGTGTACCAGTTCTTTCCCGGATTCATCATGCCAGTGCTGACGTTTGTTCCGGTACTATGCTTGGCAGCGCCCAACAATGTGATCGCACATCAGGTCGGCGACTCGTTCCACGGGCTGGGCCGTGCTCAACTTTACCTTTGACTGGACCTCGATATCGACCATCTTTGGCTCCCCGATTGCCATTCCATGGTACCTTGGCTGCAATATGTTTGCAGCCTTTGTCCTTACCATGTGGATCGTTACGCCTGCGGCATACTACAGCAACGTGTGGGGATCTGGCAACCTGCCGATCTACTCGAGCAGCATCTTCCGGGCCAACGGTTCGCTCTACAATACCTCAGAGGTTATGGACGCTGATGGCGCCTTGGATCCGAAAAAGTACGCAGAATATGGCCAAATCCACATGCCGTTCCAGCTAGCGCTAATGTACGGCCTGTCGTTTGTGAGCATCGTCACCCTCGTTGTCTACACAGCGCTGAATCACAGCAAGGATATCTACAACCGCCTTCGGCATTTGAATGTGGGCGACGACGATGTGCATGCACGGCTGATGCGAAGGTACCCAGAGGTTCCCCGGTGGTGGTATGCGATCACACTGATCACAATGCTTGCGTTGGGCATCACTGCATGCGAGGTATATGACATGCTTCCGTGGTACTACATGCTGCTCGCCATTGCCATGTCAATCACCTTCCTTGTGCCTGTGGGCATTGTCCAGGCATTGAGCAACCAGCAGCCGGGCTTGAATGTCATTACAGAGCTGGTGATCGGATTCGCCCTCCCCGGCAATCCACTGGCCAACGTGACATTCAAGCTGTTCGGCTACATCAGCGTTACCCAGGCGCTGGGGCTGGTTGCCGACCAGAAAATCGGCCACTACATGAAGATTCCGCCCCGACACGTATTCATCGCACAGCTCTCTGGCACCATTGTCACGGCCTTTGTGCAGTGCGGCACGGCAATTTGGATCATGGGCTCAGTCAAGGACATTTGGCATGACCAATGCCGCGTGGATGTGCAATAACGCGCGGTTGTTTTACGCTGCATCGATTATCTGGGGCCTGGTCGGCCCGCAGCGGCTGTTTGGCAGCGAGTCCGACTACCACCCGTTGATCTACTTGTTCATTATCGGCGCACTGCTGCCCATACCGGTGTGGTATTTGCAGCAGCGGTACCCGAACAGCTTCTGGCGGTGGGTGAACCTGCCGGTGTTTTTCGCAGGCCTGAATGCCACGCCGCCCGGCGGCCAGCGCGTCAGTCCCGTCGCGTGGTTCCTTGTCTGCTTTGTATTCCAGTTCATCATCCATAGGTACCGGTACGGATTCTGGCAGAGGTACGCATTCGCTATCTCGGCAGCCCTGGACTCGAGCGCGGCATTCGCCCACCGTGGTGATCTACCTGGCGTTCACTTTGTCCAATATCTCAATGCCTGACTACTGGGGCTCAAAGACAAACCTTTGCCCACTGGCAACTGGCGGCGGCGGCTACAAAAACTACCAGGACTTCCACCAGCCGTCGTAATGAGAACACTTTATAAAAAGCACATGTATTATCGGTTTCTTATCGTCAATAAAACGTTTAGCAAATATCCACCAGCTGTATATATCAAAGTACAAGGAGGGCATATCAAGCCTGCTGCTCGCAAGCCATCTTGCCATCGCTCTCACATTGCTCCCGAGTGCGGATAGTGTAGCGGCTGCCAAGGACACAGTGAAGACCAATTGTATGAACAGCGACGACGTCTTCGACTCTATAGCCCTTGGTTTCGGGCAAAAAGAAGAAGCAGAAGACAAAGGCCAGGATATTGAAGCCCATGAAGAAAAAGAATGTATAGTCGCCTAGCGCCTCCTGCATGGGCGGGAAGAACACGCCGATGGCAAAAGTAAAGGCATAATTGACAGCGCCGCCGATAGCCGCCATGGCCGTCATGGCGTACGCTGGCGTCATCTCGGATGCTGTCGCCCAGGGCAGCGGCCCGACACCAAAATTAAAAAGATGGCAACAAAAACACCATGGTGATGACCAGGGCGTTGGTGCCAGTAATGGACCCGACGACCATCAGCAGCGAGAAGAGAGCCATGGTGCCATGCGACAGCAGCATCAGAGTGCGGCGGCCGAAGCGCGCGCACAGGAGCATGCCGGCGAACACCGAAATGGCAGCCACAATGGAAATGACAAGGGAGAGGATCTGGGCGGTGGTTGGGATCTGCGACGGGTCGTCATGGGTTGTGCGGTTGAAGATCTGCGTGGAAAAAAATAACTGCATTGATGCCCGACATTTGCTGAAACAGCATCACGGTGCTGACCACCACCAGCTGGTGCCGCAAGTTATCGGGCGTGCGGCCCATTAGCACATCCAGAACATTGGCCTTGGGTGCCTTCTCTGCCTGGGTCGCCTGCCGCGCAGCATCCGCAATCATATCCTGGAGCTCCAAAGTAATATCAGCGTTCTTGCGCAGCCGTGCCAGCGCACTATGCGCCTGGTCAGTGCGGCCATGCGCCACCAACCATTTGGGCGACTCGACGCAGACAGGAAACAACAGAGTTGTCAGGACGCCAATCACCCGGTGACAGCAAATAAAACGCGCCACAGCGGCGGCCTCGACAGCCCCAGAGACAAGGATTCGCCAGCATAATGCCGATACCCGTGGCTAGCTGAATCGTGCCGCTCAGGATATCGCGCGACCTGGGCGTCGTGATTTCGCTCACATACACCGACACAGTGCCATTGCAGAGCCCAGCGGCAATGCCGACGAATATCCGGCCGATAATGAACTGCGCCAGGGTGGTTGATAGCGACAGTAGTAGGGCGCCGCATACAGATAGTAGAGGAGCCCAGGTGAGCACGAATTTGCGTCCATGCTTGTCGGCCAGGGCTACCGGCGATTGAGCCGATCAGAGCGCCAATGGCGAAGCAACCAACAGCCACGCCCCAGATGGTGGACTCGGTCTGGATGCATGAGGGGAAGGGACCGTTGTAGTGACTGGGACCAGTGACACAGTTGGAGATAACGTCACCGGGGATGTTGATGACGCCGATGTTCCAGCCAAAGTTTACGCTGCCCAGGGCGGCCATTGTGGCGCAAAATACCTGGTATTTGGTTACGCCCAGTGAACGTGAGTCGACGGACATTATGTAGTTACTACTAGTTTGAATGTATGGAGGTTAGTGAGGAATACGGGAATTTGTAGAAAACAACGGGCGACTTCTCTTCCTTGCGCATGCTGGCTTTTATAGGAGAGAATTGGAGGAGGAGGAGGAGAGGAGGGCACACAGGCATGCTGCGGTATCTGCATGTGCTGGCATAATTTCACAGAGCATCCCTCCATCACCATTACTAGAGGTGTAGGTTCTCCGAAATGCAATTTCCATTGGAATGGTTTGTAAGCAGAGGGCAGTGGCCAATAAGAGAGGATCAGAATGGGAGTATATTGCGTGGAGGTATGCTAGTGCCGCACATTGTCAGCCGAGGATAGACGGGAGCCAAATATAGGTTGGCAAAGATACTCCGGCGACAGAACCACTGGACAGGTCTGGCGAGCTTTACAGAGGAGTCGTTTTGCTGGTCTAGTTGCGGGACTGTGTATCAGAGCCATTGGGTTGGGGGAGAGATCATGGGTGGATCACCCGAACGAAAGAGTAGAGATTTACCTTCACAGGATTTCAGCAGAGCAATCAGTCCGAGGCCGTCATTCGGCTTTGGGCGCTTGGGCATTCATTGGGGCCGTTCAGGTTCGAATCCCAGAGGGTTCAGCTAACAAACACCCAGTCGACGATGACAGTACTGCGCTAATACTGTGCCACCAACTTGCAAGCGGGGGCCAGATCTATCCTTCTGGATTGATAACTGCGCTCTGAGTCGACTTTTTGCATTTTAAAACAGTAGCATGGAGTGCACATTTTTAATGCAAGTGGCGATGTGTGTTTCTGGGTAGGGCAGTTGAGGTTCAGTTTATTTTTTCTTGTTGCGCAGGCGGCTGAGCATCTTCATGGGGGTGAGGAAGAAGCTCTCGTTCTTGTCGTCGTTGTCGTCATGATGGGCGTGCGGTGAGGGCAGGTGGTGGTGGCTGGAGGACTGGCGCGCGGTACTGCGCGAGCGGGCGCGAATTGGGGTGTAGAGCACCGGCTGCTTGTTTTCTTCAGGGACAGCGGCGGCAGCAGCGCGCGCGGGCGGCGGACGGGCAACCGCCGCGGTGATTTTGCATTCAGGGTGGAAATAGTGTCGTCCTCGAAATCCGAGTTCTCTGGGTCAACACTCAGCACGGTGCGGTTAGCGCGCAGCCTGCGCTTCTTCTTGCCAGACGGCGGGCGGCTGCTGGGGGTCCGCGGTGACGGTGGGCATGGGACATCGTCGGCCATTGGGACATCATCTGGGGGGATTTCGGATTTGCGCGAGCGCTTGGAGCCCTGGGGGCTGGGCGGTTCGGCGTCGGAGATACTGCCGGCGACCGCTGGATCAATAGGCAGATCGTGGACCTCCTGGCTGGTGAAGGTGACGCTGACGCCACCAGTAGGCTGGGCAACGATAGGGCCGGAGTAGACGACGGAGCGCACCTTGGGCGGGCGCAAATCGGCATGCGACATGCTTCCGGGTGCGTCCTCAG